TAGAAGCCTTCTCTTCATCTGCACCTGTTTCCTCATCATCTGAGTTACTGATAGGTCTAGCTGGAACAATTGGAGCCTCAAGCCCCACCTGCTACGAAACTTCTTTGGTTATGTTCTCTGTAGAAGAACTTTTCAACATAGAAGACTCATCAAATGTAACATCCCTGCTATTAATGATTTTCTTCAACTCGGGGCACCAAAGTCTATTCCCTTTTACGCCTTCACTATAGCCTAAGAATATAGCCTTTTTGGCTCTAGGAACCAACTTACTCTCTTTAACATGAAAGTAGGCAGTACAACCAAAAATTCGCAGAAAATCATAATCGGTAGCAGGTTTCCCAGACCATACATCCATGGGCATTTTGCCCTCGTTCGCAGCTGCAGGAAACCTGTTGATGAGATGGCATGCTTATGTCACAGCCTCAGCCCAAAATGCTTTGCCCAATCTAGCATTGGACAATATACACCTAACCTTTCCTAACAAGGTTCGATTCATGCGTTCTGCCAACCCATTCTGTTGTGTTGTGTCTCTGACTGTAAAGTGTCGAACAATACCCTCGTCCTGGCATACTTGCAAGAATGGGTCCGATATGTATTCACTGCCATTATCGGATCTGAGTCTTTTGATTTTTCTGCCAGTCTGGGTCTCCGTCCTCTTCTTCCATTTCAAGAATACTTTTATGACTTCATCTTTATGTTTCATGGTGTACACCCATACTCATCTAGAGAAGTCCCCAAACATCTGTGTGAACATAGTCAAGTATTCCCTTCGTGAGGTGTACTGCTGTGCCAAACTTGACTCTTGTCAGCTTGCCCAGAACACAATGTTCACAAAATCCAAGCTTGCAAGTCTTAGCACCTTTCAATAGACTCTGTTTCACTAGTCCCTGCAAAGCCTTCTCACCTGCATGTCCCAAGCGTACATTCCACAATCTGGTAGCATCTGATGCATCTCCCTTTGAACTGTCTGCAACAGCTGCTGTGCCTGTAACTGTATTTCCAAGGAAAAAATATAAGTTACTCTTCTTTGTACCCTTCATCACAACTAGAGCTCTATAGGTCACCTTTAGACCATCGCCTTTCAGCGTGATCTCATAACCTTTTGCTGCCAATGATCCAAGTGAGATGAGATTTTTCTTCAAATCCGGTACATACCGGACATCTTCGAGAACTCTGACTGTTCTATTGTGCAACTTTAAACGAATCTTTCCTATCCCCCTTGTTTGACAGGCATGATCATTGCCCATGAAAACAGCTCCACCGTCCGGCTCCTGGAAACTGGAGAACCACTCCCGGTTAGGACACATGTGATAGGAACAACCCGTATCCAAGATCCATGTATCATGAGAATTGGATCCAAGTGATACAGTCAAATCAAACTCTGCAGCTTCATCGTCACTGCTAACAATGTTGGCGGCAATCTTCTTGTCATCCTTGTTTTTCAATTTAGGACAATCCTTCTTCCAATGCCCTTTATTATGACAAAAGGCACATTCATCTTTGGCAAGATTTTTCTTGCCCAAAGTTGATGCTCCTCTTGATCTGGATTGAGATCTTCCACGGCTACCAGACTTTTTCTGATCTGTTCTACCACGTACTGTTAGAGCTTCAGCTGTTGAGTCTCTATTAACCTCCTTATCCTTCTTGCGAAGCTCATTATTCATGAGGGTATTAGAGACATCAACATATTTAATTTCTTCTTTTCCATACAGTAGTGTGGTAGTCAAATGTTCATACGAATCAGGCAGAGAGTTTAACAATAATAATGCTTTATCTTCATCATCAATTTTAACATCTAAATTTTGTAAATCAGCAAGAATTTTGTTAAAATTATCTAGATGCTTGGACATAGACATACCTTCTCTATAATCAAACCGAAAGAGCTTCTTCTTCTTCAAATAGAGCCGATTTTCAATGCTCTTTGTCATATACTTCTCCTCCAGTTGCGTCCAAAGCTTGTCTGCTGAAACTTCATGCATGAAAGGATATTTTTGATCCTTTTCGAGATAAAGCCGAATTTGACCACAAGCCTTATGATTGATCTTTTTCCAATCTTCCTTCATTTCTTCTGGTTTCTCCTTCCCCAGAGTAGTGTCTAAATCTTGTTGAGTTAGAACATCCATAACTTTGCATTGCCACATGCTGAAGTTGTTGTGCCCATCAAATTTTTCAATATTAAATTTTGCGGTTGCCATCTTCTTTTTCAACAATCACGATCACCGAAAAGAACCGAACCGTGGTGCTCTGATACCAATTGTTGTGCGGAAGCGTGGGCCCAACAAATAAATAATGGTGGTTGTGATCACACACACAAGAAGAATACACTCACAAATTAATAAGTACGAGAAAACACACACACAAAAGGAAGACAAAGATTTAAGTGGTTCGGCAATGTGCCTACGTCCACGGGAGCTCACGATCAATGTACTAATATCAAAACCTAAAGGGTTACAAAAGGCTCACAAATGAAAAAATAAATATTATTTTCTCCAAACTCTCTTTGCTCACTTTAATGCTCTTGGATGATTTTCGAATGAATGAAACTATGAGATACAAGGTCTATTTATAGCCAACAAATCTCCCTGATGATGTAAGCAATGATGTAAGCAAAGCCTGATGTAAGCGATGACATATGCAACTGATAATGTAAGCGATGACATATGCAACTGCTGATGTAAGCGATGACATATGCAATTGCTGATGTAAGCGATGACATATGCAACTGCTGATGTAAGCGATGACATATGCAACTGCTGATGTAAGCGATGACATTTTTTGAGCCAATTCCAATTTTGCAACTTCCAAAAATTGTCAACACTAAATTTGTTAACAAAGGTTTGGAGAAAGCTGCAATTAATTGGATTTTCCTAATTCTCCCTTCGAAAGGATGAGTGTTAGATTCTTTTTCAATTTCGCAGGGATTAGGAAATTGGATCTAGCCGTAAGAAGAATGCTTAGCATAAATAATTCATTTCTTGGTCTTTGACCCTCTCAGTCCTGGTCAGTGCAATAGGATGTGTCTATATATCTATTTCTTCACTTCAAAAACACGAGAGTTGCACTCGTTACGGGATTTAACCCAACAACTTACGACATGAGCTGAGGACAGCCAAGGCTCAAACATAATAAAGTTGATAACAACCCTATTAGAGGTGGTTAACGATTTACAGAAAAATATATCATGTCATAGTTATAAAAATATTAAAATAGATTTGTAGATCATAAGAAAGCTGTAATTAAACTAATTTATTATTGTTATTATTATTATTATTTTCTCTGCAATTATTGCCATTTGTAAGGAGAAGCCAAAGTCTGCAATTTGACTTGAAATCTATATTTCTATCTCACACTCTTTTCTTGCCTCATTGTTAAAGAAGTTTCTGACCATTCTTATCCAAAACGCGCTTTTGCAAGAGTGGCTTGATGAGGCTGATGGTTGGTCTCAACTTGTTAATGAAATGGTTTTTGCTAAACTGCCAATTGTTTTTTTCCTTATAAGTCTCATATTTATGCTTGAAGTATTTAACAGAAATAATAATAATAAATAAATAAAAATGAAAGATGGTCAAAAGCCTAAAGCCTTGATTTGTTCACAAGAAAATTTCTTAAATAGGTTAGAATATGGTTCACAAAAAAAAACCAAATTAATGGCTTATCAATGAGATATCCTCAAAGGGAAAGTTGGGGTTCTAGCCTTGGTCTGTAGAGATAAGGGTGTGTGAGTTTGTTTAGCTCTCTTCTCATCGTAAAGAGAGGTTAAGAGTTCGAATCTCACACCGATCAGTGTGACGCATGTATAAAGTAACTATACTGATACTGCATTTTATAATACGAACTCTCTTCTCCTAAGGAGACGTTAGGAGTTCAAGTCCCATGACTTATCAATGAGATATGAGCTATCAAATGGGCAATAGCCCAACTCGAATAAACTCACCTCCTCAAAAGGGAGTTCGGGGGTTCTATAGTCTCGGTGGAGATAATGGTATGTGAGTTTAATTCACCTTTCAAAAAAACAAAAATAAGATACAAGTTTTTTTCTTAATTTAAAGAGAGGTCAAAAGTTCAAATCTCACGTGGATCCGTAAAATGACTTTGTTGCAACGGCATCTTTGTGGGTAGGAGTTCAAGCTACGAAATTTGGGCATCAGTTTTTCATATAGGACGGACTAGTTTTTGACCCAAGAAAATGAAAAAGAAATGGAACAAAAAGACAAATTACTAAGTCAAGAAAAGCACATATCTAAACCACAGAGAGAGTGGCTTGAGTGGTTAGCTTTCTCCCCTAGAAGGACCTACGTTTATCAAACCCTAGGCTGCCTCAATGATGTCAAAGGCAAACAAAACCTATCTAATATAATTATATTGTTTTTCAAATATATGTAAAATGTGCCACTTCTAGTCCACTTGTATAGATGAGGTGGGTACATGTAAAACTTTGTGACGGTGAATAGATATATGGACTCCAATAAGAAACAAAATTGAGAAGTTCAAGTTAATACAAGACATACTCTTATTTTCAACATTCCTTCTGTCATTTGCAAGGATAACCCTTTTTAATCTTACAAACACTTAAATCCAGAACATGGTTTGTAGTTTGACTTAAATTTCTCTCTTTCTCGCCTCATCATTGATAAAACTTCATACCCAATTGCCTAAAACGCATTATTGTTAGTAATAAAAAAATATTTGATCATAAAGAAATATTACATAAAGCATATTACCGACTCTCTACATTGACTTGTTCATGGCCCATACATGGAATTGACATCTTGCTATCTTAGTGGGAAACCACCTTTCAATAGTATAAAAAAAAAAAATAAAAAAAAAAAAATAATGTGAGATATGACTTGCATTGTTTATGCCTTAATACAGTCTGTTTACTCAATAAAAAACATGTCAATGTCACCAATGATTATATGGAACACTATATATATAGGCCTAGCTAGTCCTCTCCCTCATACACACCAACAGTTCTGAGAACATATACCCTCTTTCCGGCAATGGGGAGCTCGGGGAAATTGAGGCAATGGCCTCAACTAGTATTTGCAATGGCATTTTGCCTAATAGCCATTTGTGTAGCTGCCGATAAGCCTTATATTTATGCTTCACCACCACCACCCCATCACCAACACCCACCTTACCTGTATAAGTCACCACCACCACCACCTAAGCACTCAGGGCACCCGCCATACTACTACAAGTCTCCCCCTCCACCACTACCAAAGCACTCAAGGCATCCACCCTACTATTATAAGTCACCGCCACCTCCAAAGAATTCGGGACATCCACGGTACTATTATAAGTCACCACCACCACCATCGCCATCACCACCTCCTCCTTCCCACTACAAGTCCCCACCTCCACCATCAAAGTCACCACCTCCTTACCACTACACGTTCCCACCTCCGCCATCCAAGTCACCACCTCCATACCACTACACATCCCCACCTCCACCATCGAAGCCACCACCTCCTCCATACCACTATACTTCCCCACCTCCACCCTCCAAGTCACCACCTCCTACATACCACCACACGTCCCCACCTCCACCATCCAAGTCACCACCTCCTCCTCACCACTACACTTCCCCACCCCCACCCTCCAAGTCACCACCACCTCCATACCATTACACGTCCCCACCACCACCATATCACTACATGTCACCACCTCCTCCATCCAAGTCACCACCTCCTCCTTACCACTACACGTCCCCACCTCCACCATCTAAGTCACCACCTCCTCCATACCACTACACTTCCCCACCTCCACCCTCCAAGTCACCACCACCTCCTTACCACTACACTTCTCCACCTCCACCCTCCAAGTCACCACCACCTCCTTACCACTACACGTCTCCACCTACACCATCCAAGTCACCACCTCCTCCTTACCACTACACGTCCCCACATCCACCATCCGAGTCACCACCTCCTCCGTACCACTACACTTCCCCACCTCCACCCTCCGAGTCACCACCACCTCCGTACCACTACACTTCCCCACCTCCACCCTCCGAGTCACCACCACCTCCATACCACTACACGTCCCCACCTCCGCCATCCAAGTCACCACCTCCTCCTTACCACTACACGTCCCCACCTCCGCCATCCAAGTCACCACCACCTCCATACCACTACACGTCCCCACCTCCGCCATCTAAGTCACCACCTCCTCCATATCACTACACGTCCCCACCTCCGCCATCCAAGTCACCACCACCTCCTTACCACTACACGTTTCCTCCATACCACTACACGTCCCCACCTCCGCCATCCAAGTCACCCCCACCTCCTTACCACTACACGTCCCCACCTCCACCATCCCCATCACCATTGCCTCCTTACTATTGCAAGTCTCCACCACCGCCAAAAGGCTACTAAGCTAATGAGTGCCTCCTGCATCAGCTGCAGTAGTGCAAAGAATAATTAACTTCTTTCTGAACTGTTGCCTAAATATGTTTTTTGGCATTAACTATCTTTTGTGAATAAGAAGGGTCCCCAACTACGTTGCTTTTTGTAATATTTTATTTAATTACATTCAATTGTAATATTTCTTGTAAGCAATAAAAGCATAAGAATTTATATTTGGAAATAAAGCAAAAAATATTGCAGTTGTCAGTTATGCTTCCTAGTTATTCCCAATATTGTCCCAGGTACATTTATTGCTTTGTTGTTGGATTCATAAATGTGTATTAACACATTGTCAAATTTGAATAGTAATGCAAGATATGAGTAAACGATCGTGATACTGTAATATACTTGGCACTATGGTAAAACTTATCTTGGCAAGTGTGAAAATTCAACCTAAGAATGGGCACTTTGTGAAAAGTAATACAAATCAAGGTTTATCTCTTATTTTTTTCCTTGCATCATCATTGATCATAAGGGAATGAACATAATTCATGAGCATGTTTGGTTCAATATTCTCGCAACTATTTTCACAAAATTGAGTTTTATTTTTATTTTTTTTCCTAAAGGTAAAACAAGTATATTAAAGAGAAGTTAATGTTACTGAGAACTAAGTTTGCTAATGATCTTTGCTAACTTTAGGGTTTTTAAAAAAAATTTCAGGGGCAAGAATAAGAGATTTTGTTCAATTGCTAAAATCAAAGGTTACATTCAGAGATATCATCAATAAAAGCATTTTCCTCCTCTTAATAGAAGTGAATCCACCAGCAACCAAATTGCCTTTCCTCCTTATCCAGCATAGCTTCAGATCAAGGATTTTTCCTTACTGGCTTAGGGTCAAGAAATTTATTTTAAAAGGACATGTATAATTGTCTCTTCTCGATTCTTGTCTTGGAAAACAAAATGAGAGGGTAAAAGAGATGGATCATTGACTAACGTGCAAGCGATGAATTAGACGTGAGTTGAAAAAAGTGATGCGCAAAGAGGTTTTATAGAAAAAGATAACAACCAATCAAAGAAATTAAGGCTACATATTAATGAAATTGGGAATAGAATGCATAAATGAGAATCCCAAAGGATTGGAATGATTATTTTTTTAAAAGAAATTTCACATTGTTTGTTTTACGTGGCTATATTTTTACAAGTTTCATTCACATGAAACACTAGTTTTCAGAACTAGTTTCCAACAATCCCCTACATAAATTAGCTGCTTAAATGTGAAAATGATTATGCAGACATTAGATAGAGTATAGTTGGAAGGTACTACATTAGGATATGTAACTTTTGGCCTTGAACCTTCTCTAGTCTATTACTATCGGATTTACTGGCTAATCAGTGAACATGATGTCTTGAACTGTTCAACAATAATAACCCAAACCCGATGGGTCCGGATCATTATTCAGGTCCTTAACTGAACCCGAGATTATCTAAGGGCATTACGGTCATTTCTAATGTTCAAATATAATTAATACCTCGTGCTAAGCTTTGTAGTGCACCATGGCATCATCAAATGGGCTGGATTGAGCAAACGAGGAAAAGAAATGAAAATAGGGAAGCAACAGGAACCGGTTGACGTGTGCAACTCAATGCCTTGTTATGTACACACAAAAGGCCTAGAAGATCTGGATTTGGCTTCTGGGTATGGTGTCAAAAAGATGATAAATATATATATATATATATACACACATGCACTACACAAAAATTGGCTTCTCATATAAAAGACGACCCAATTACATACCAGTTCTAATATATACATAGTAATACATAAAGATGTTATAGAGAGAGAGAGAGGGAGTGGCGAGAGAGACGGTTTTTAGAGATTTTTATTTTTATTTTTATTTTTATTTATTATTATTATTATTATTTTTTTTTGTCATTTTGGGGTTTTTATAAAAGAATTGGTCAGAATTGATAATTAGGGGGCAATTTGCTCCAAATGTTAATAATATAGAGATTTATATGCATAAAATAAAAAAAAGTGATGCTATTAAGAGAACTTCATCATATTAGCCATGAATTCTTCATATTTAATTAACCACCGAATTAATGAAAGATGCATTTATTCTTTTGACTTTTACATATCTCCAAAAAAAAAATATTTGTCCCAAAGCCATTGGTTAATTGTGGAGAACTCATGTCTCTTGCCATAAAGGAATCTCTTGATAGAGTTACTCTAATGAAATTGACTCAAAAGAAAATATCTATGGATACTCCTAAAATTGAAATCAGAAAATAAGAGTATTTGGCCAAGTCTTGTGACACACACGCGTGCGCGCGCGCATATATATATATGTTGGAATAGTAAGGGAGACACGTAGAGTTAACTGGGGTACATTTTACTTTGTACATATAAAAAACACCCATAATATACATACAGTGCATACACTTCCTTCTTATTTAGAAAATAACTTTTCACTTTCACTTTCACTTTCACTTCCACTTCCTTCTTATTTAGAAAATAACTTTTCACTTTCACTTTCACTTTCACTTCCACTTCCTTCATATTTGGAAAACAACTCTTCCACATATTAGCTCTAGTAAAAAAAAAAAAAAAAAAATGGATAATACTTAGCTACTCACCGGTGAGTAGTTTCACTCTACTCCTCCTTTGTGTGTTCTAATAACAATTTACCACATCAGTTTTAATAAAAAAATGTTTCACGTTTATTTAATGGTTGATCCGATAAAATACAGGAGAATGTGGATTATTTTGTTATTAAAGGTGATGTGATAATTTATTATTGGAACACACAAGGGGTGAGTAGGGTGAAGTTACTCACCAGTGAGTAGCTAAGCATTATCCAAAAAAAATTCTTTTTTTTTTTTTTTTTTTTTTTTTTTTTGGGCTCAAGCCCACCAAAACTCTCCCCTAAATCCGCCCTTGGTTAACAGTGTATTAGGTGCTCCGTTCTCTAGCTTAACACTTAGGAATATGAATGATGAACAAATAGTGTAAGCATTTAGACAAACAACTTAATCTTGGTTTGCTAAAGTGAAAAGAACAAAGTAAAGTTCAAATGGGTTTTGCAATAAACATAATAAAAGAGGTAAAACAAAATTTAAGAGAAATGAAAGACAAAACACACAAACACATAGTACAAACAGATTTTACAAGGTTCGACACCCTGCCTACGTCATTGCTTGAGAAGAGCCTTCTGAGGATTATTTTTCTCACTAAATGAGCTTTTCTTTACGAGTAGATAAGAAACCTTACAATGATCGTTTTACATGGGATCAAAATCAACTCTCCCTTTTAGGGGATCGGAGTCAACCTTTTCCTGCTGTAGGGTAGCACCCGCATAGACTTTCCGAATGCCACAACCTTCAATTTATTTTCTTCAAAGAGGTGTGTGCTTTTAACGTAATGATTGAGGTGTCCCTTTGATGCACGAATATACAATACGAGCTCACAATATATATGTCTTTAAATATAGACATACAACCAGCTCTCTTTTACATAATCTCTAGAGTGAAGGATTTAATCTAGCTCAACTTCTAGAGTGTGATTGCATCATTGCTGTTGACTAATGATAAGAGTTGAATTATAAGAGCAGTGCCATATAACCTTATTGATCGAAAAATGGTTTAATATTTAGTCTAGGTCCGGTTATTATAAGAATCAACTTGCAATATAACCATTAATTTACATTGATACCCCCATGAACATTTTTTTTTTTTTTAACATGGCAATAAGAATAGTTAAACGGCACTTCGACAGACAAGATCACATAAACTGCATCCAAAACAGAAGGAACCACTATCATGGACAAAACAAAGCTAACCCCAGACAAGCCCAACACCAAGCTAAGTCAAGGCATCATCCTTGGCAACAACCTAAAGCTTTAAAAGGTGTCTGATACTCTGGATGCGACTTAAATGGTTGGAAATAGGGGTGCCACATATCCCAAGAGAATCTGACAATAAGAATAGTTAAACGGCACTTCGACAGATAAGATCACATAAACTGCATCCAAAACAGAAGGAACCACTATCATGGACAAAACAAAGCTAACCCCAGACAAGTCCAACACCAAGCTAAGTCAAGGCATCATCCTTGACAACAACCTAAAGCTTTAAAAGGTGTCTGATACTCTGGATGCGACTTAAATGGTTGGAAATAGGGGCGCCACATGTCCCAAGAAGAGAATCTGACAATAACATCATAGTGGGAAGCTTATGGGATACACTTTGCTCCCCCCTGGCCACATGCACAAACCATAAAGAGATTGAAGAACACCACTCATGGATATTCACACCAAGGGATAAACAAAGCGTCACTTCTAAGACATCCATGGATGTCGCACATTCAGTGAACAAACTAAAATCAAAACCACGGTGGGTGATTATGCAGAACAAACATACAATCCCATGAAAACTAAACTACGTCCTTTGTTTGGTAAGCAAGAAATATTAATGAAGGAAATCAAAAGACAGGCACAAATTTGATCCTTATCAAAAGTTAAGAACAACCAAGATAACCAAATAAAAATCTGGATTACTTTTTCCACATCTCACCAACATATACTTCTTTTCTCAATTTTCTCAGTTTTTTGCAAGTTTTCAAAACCCTAATTTCTCCATATTTCTCTAACTCATCTTAACTGAACCATAGTCTGCTTTTCTTCTCATTGTTCTCAATTTTTTTTTGGCAAGATTTCAAAACCCTATCTTCTCCATTCTTCTCTCATTTCTCCTTCCACAATATATATATTCTTCTCATCATTTTCAGAAATTTCAAAATATTACTCGTTTTGACATTCTAGTATGTGTATCTGCTTGATGGCATGTTGTGTGGAGGGAAGATACTGGATTAACTTAAGGGGAAAAATCACATAATCCCCTTGTACTATCGTTTTCGTCCAAAATGCTCCCACTAAAATTAAACACCCCGGAACTAACAAAACCCATCATTTTACCCCAAACCCGTAACCGACCCATTAATTAGAATATTAAATGACAAATTTAACCTTATT